AAAAAATCGAAAATCGAATATACGTAACCCGCGGAAATTCAAAATTCGCGATACTTTTTGTACAGACCTCGTATATCGATGCTGCGAGGATCTCGGGTTCTTATTTCGCTTATTTTTACCCATCAGCTCACTTTCTTCATTCTGTTTATTAGCCTTACATTATTTCCCCAACACCACGGTAAGCTCGACACGTTCCGATACTTAGAAATTTTCGGTCTCACTAAGCTAGCGACTAAGTCTTGACGGGGAATTTTATATATATATATATATAATAATTATCGCGACACCGCAGTTTCCGTACTTATAAAATTCTTATTACTTATACTTCGCTATACTTATAAATTTCGTGTAACTTATAATTTCTTGTACTTATTAGGTGTACAAAAAAGTTCTGAGCTTTTTTTTGTAAAATTCAATCTTTATTTAAAAACAAACGAAAAAATAGGCTTGCTGCGTAACGCCAAGCTGTTCTGCAAGCTCCTTTTCAGTTTGCGCAGAGTTTATATCCAGCAGTGCTTGCAATTCGTCCGTTTCAATCTTTTCAGGGCGTCCAGCACGCGATTCATCTTTAAGACTGAAATCTCCTTGGCGAAACTTTTGATACCACCTTTTGCATGTTGCATGACTTACAGCGTTCTCTCCATATGCAGCACAAATCATTTCAGTGGCTTCAGCAGCATTTTTCTTCAGATGAAACGCGAAGTGGATGGAAAATCGAATATGCTCTTTTGTAATTGCCATCGTGAACACTACTGATTTTTGAGGTTATGTGCATCAAACGCCAAACCGTATCGCATTTCAGGAGGTTAAATGTTACTGTTTTAAAACCCCAAAAGGGCGGGAAGATATATAAAATTTAAATTGTTATTTCGGTTGTATCAAATCTAAAGCTCAGAACTTTTTTGTACACCTAATATAATCTTCACATAATTTTGGTACTTGTAAATTCCTCGTACTTATAGTTCCATACTTATAATTCTCGCGTTATGCGCAATTTCTCTATACTTGTAATTATTATTATTATTATTATTATTATTAGGCGTTAGGAACTCGAAAGCTCATTGCCGCAAATACCAAATCCCGCCACTGTTCCCGTCCCTGAGCAAGATCCCTCCATTTGTGACCCTCGTACCCCATTTCGTTAAGGTCCATTCTAATATTATCTTCCCATCTACGTCTTGGTCTACCCAATGGTCTTTTCCCATCCGGTTTACCAATTAGTATTTTATATGCAATTCGATTCTCATCCATACGCGCCGCGTGACCTGCCCATCTTAATCGACGCGATTTTATGACATTAATAATATCCGGACTATTATATAATTGATGTAATTCTGCGTTGTGTAATTGTATACTATACTATACTTGTAATTTCTATTGATAATTCAATTCTGCCCTTCAGGCTCTGGAAGGGTCTTGTGTTTTCTCATGTAACAATAAACAATAACGTTATTATCATATCTAACAATCTAATCAATATTTATTTAGAATCTTATCCTATCGCGAAAAGAACGGTTGTTGTGCTGCCGAGTGCGAAACTCTCTTGAACAGTTCGCGATCCGGCATGAATTTAAAGAACCTCTCGGAGTAGGGCGCTCTCCATAGGGTACCCTTCGTCTCCCTTTTTCTCATCTTGGCGTACCTTCAACTCAGAGCTGTTCCAGGGCACCTCCTTAACTACCAGGTCTGGGCGTTTGCTTTCGGGCGTCTGGTTTTCCTTTTTTCTTCAATCTTGGCGTGCTCTTGCGCAGGGTCGTTTCAGGCTACCTCTTTACTCACTCAGAGTTGGGCGCTTACCTTTGGGCGCTTACTCCTCTCTGCTCCTATCACAATTACCCCCGTACCTCCTCGGGTAAAGTTTCCCCTGCCAATAAAGGAGAAGTCGTCTCCCCTCTTACCCTGCAGTCTCTATTCAATTACATTGTTTTATCTTATGCAAATTCTCTCTCTTGGGCATCCCGTTATTTCTTTATCACAACCGTAGATGCTTAGATCAAGACGCGGAGGGTGGAGATGCCAACTGAGGCGGCTAGTGAAAACGTTGCACCAGCATGGCGATTTCGACCCCAGCGTGCTCTCCCCCGAGCCCTCATTCAGCACGGTTCCTCTGGGTACCCCATCGAACCAAGCCAGTCATGGAACTTATCGTCCAAGTATCACCCGCTTTCCTCCGTCGGATACGTCGAGGCCCCCGGTGAGGATCCCTACGAGATCGATCAAGGTTAAGCGGGAAGCCTCGCGTCACTCGTGAAGCTACCGAAT